TATGATTTCAGACCAAAATTGCACGACACGAGGTTCAATTACCACTTTATTACATCCATTTTGAAATCGCCCAAATACAGGACTTGGTCAATTCAAATATTTTATTGATGCAGTACTGAGCCGGTTTTTAAATAAAAAGTGGAACCGGAAACGATTTTACATCTTATTTTAAACAAAGACTTTGATGTTATGTGTCAAAAACTCAGTCAAACGTAAAATGATGCGATTTAGAGCAAAAAATAGTGTGATTCGTGAATAAATCGCACCAATTAGAGCCAATCAGATTACAGGGACCCCCAGTGATTTCAAAATGGTGTAATAAAAGAAAAAATCGACTGAAGGAACTCTAGAAATTCTCCAGGTTTTTGGAACCCACCTCGTTAATGTTGCTCGAAAGCTTTCAAAAATTGATGGAGAGATCCAGGATGATAGTTGCCATTCAACAATACAGAATAATCATCACCAATGCACGACTGATTTGTTTTCACTTTGGTAGAAAAGACTCAATTGCAATGTCATTACCATTTACTCCCCACTGGGCATAACATGTTACAAGTATACAGAGGAACCTCGATTTAACGAACCTCTATATAACGAAGTCCTCGGTATAACGAACGATACTTCTGTTCGTTATACCTTTCTCTATAAATGAATTTCTGGACATACCGACATAAATATTGATAGGTATGTTACTTTTGTCACACATGACCGATCTCGCTCTAAGAACCCTACTCTCGTACTAAAACCTGCTTACTGTAAAACTGCAACTTTTCAGTCTTCCTTTTTTAATAGAATTGTTAAACCCTAGAACATTATCTGTAATCTCGCCTCTCATGACAATTTTTCGAGTCTAAATATTTTTAAAATTATCTGCGCGCCACTTATTTTACTTTACTGGACCCTACTTATAATATTGAGATGCCCTGCACCTGGTTTCTCTCCCGTAACTGCCCTTGCCATCCATCGCTCTTAATTTTTATCTGACTGATTTTATTTGCACTGTACTGTACACTATCTAAATTTAATCATAGTTAAATTATTTAAATTAAATTTTAGTTTTTTTATCGGATATATATTTTTTCTTTTTAGATTTCGGGTTGCGCCTCGCATGGGATTTTGTTTCCGTTCGCGCAATCTTACTTGGTCCTCTTTTTTTTTTCTCTTTTTTTATTTCTTTTAGTTCTGTATATGTATAGCTTATGAGACCAGTAAAGTTGATAAACAGTTTCAGCCTCGCTAAAGTTACAGTAAAATGTATGCCTCAGAACCTCGATATAACGAACTCTTCGATATGACGATCCAATTTCCCCAGTTCCTTGGCACTTCGTTAAATCGAGGTTCCACTGTACCAGGCTCTCTCGTCTGCCATTTCAGTGGATGTTAGATTTTTCATGACGCGACATAAGGGTAAGATGAAAATAAAAAACCCGTTTACTGGACCATGGACTTACATTGCCAGACTTGAAACATTCCTCAAGTGACATGTATCTCAGGTGCTTCAGGGTGTGGTTCCTTTCGATCTTCATACAGTTAAGATGTAAATAATTTCGAAAAATAATAATGATGCTTCAATTAGAGCCACATCACGCATCTGGGGTATTTTAAAACAGAGGCAGCAATATCGGACAGTAAATTGGGCTCCGGGCTTATGGCTTTCACCATACCCAGATTTATTTTTTTCAATGTAATCAGTGAAAAAATCAGAAAAAAGGGAGGTTCATTCTTTTTCATTTGGACTCTCTCTAAAAAAGAAAGGTGTTTTCAATATTCTGTATAGCTTCCATTTGGTGTGGGTGTGTGCCAAAAGTTTTAAAAATAGACATCAGTTTCCACTTCAGGTTCTTGGCTTACTAAGAGATATCGTGCTCTTTCTATTTGAAATTTGACAAAAGGATACGGCTAATCCTTTGACACACCATCTGAGAGCTTCTTCAGGCTCATTCAGCTCAAGACAGGCAATTGCTCCTATTCAAAATAACATAAGGAACACATTTAGACCGAATCAGTTACAAAATTTTGTAATACAATTTTCTTTTGCCTATGTAAAAGAGAAATTTTTGCAACTCTCATCTTTCCTTGTCGGTTTTTGAAAAAGGTAAGGACATGCTGCAAGGGAAAATTTTCAAATTATGAAAGAGTTAGGTGACGTTTACAAAAATTCTAGTAAATAGTACGATGATTCTCAAAACTGTCCCGAAAAAAGAGAAAGTTTTCCTGCGCACTTTGCCTCAAAAGATGAGAATCAGCGAGCTGTCAATCAAATTGGCAGAGGTCTTACGGGTGCAGTTCTTTCGAGTTTGGAGCGGGGATTGGAAATAATATTGTGACAATCTAGTTGTTTTAATATTCTCATTTCAGTTTCTTACTCCGAAATTCAAACCACAAATTGGAAAAAGTAGGAAAAGTGGCAGCACCTTATGCTATTTTTACCACTCATGTGATATCTCATTCAGTAAGCCACATTCCAAATCGTATGGTGTGGGATATTGTTCTATATTTCGGTAGAACATTGAAAACAAAATTACCTGTAACAATTGCCTCCAGGTATGTTGGTTCCACTTGAGTGGCGGCTGTTGCATCGCTCAGTGAATCCTGGTAATTGCCTATGGGAGAAATGTAATCTAATCAGCAAAACGTATTTATATCAAACTAAATACAAAAGAGATAATTAAGAGAGCGTGGGTCGGTGATCGTAGTACATTAATGACTCTCTGACACGAGTCGCACCGCACTTTCCAGTCAGGTCCATCTACAGTATAAAGCTTTACTCAACTAGTGTTTTGCTTCCAAACATCATATGATCAGTTTCTCTGATTAATAAGCTTTGATTATATTATGAAGTCGTTTTGGTCAGCAGTGAAAAGCGAAGAAACATTATAGATGTTAGAATAAAGGGAGAAAGTTTCTAAAGAAACTGTGGTGTTGCGTCGGTGGAAGAAAGTAATCTGGATTTTATTAATTGAGTTGATAACATAAATGGCCACCATTAAGGGTTTCAACGCTGACGTTTCGAGCGTTGACCCTTCGTCAGAACGAGTGATATATAACGATTCATTCGCTCTTACAAAGGGCTGACGCTCGAAACGCCAACTTTGAAACTCTCTACAGTGGCCAATTTACATCATCATCAACTCAGTTGATAAAACCCAAATTATAGATGTTAGGCCGAGAAATGATCACAGACATCACTGCTGGAGATGACAGAGGAAAATTGCTTAAGGTCCGTGGGAGAAATACAAAACAAAGATGCTGCGAATATCTGCTAAACACAGACGCGCATGCGCATGGTGAACTACCTCAAGGACTCAGTATGGCTGATTAACAAGGAGAGAAAGAATAGGATGTAGGGATATGAAGCCCTAAATGAACTAAGCCCTCCTTACCTAATTCAAAATGTGATAGGGCCCTGTTGTTGTACAATGTGGCCTTCAGTTCTTTGTTTCCACATTTTACTTTAATTCCTTCCGTGTCAAAGTAAATGGCGTTGAGAAAATCTCCTTTTATGGCAAAGTCGTTACCTTCATTTAGGTAAACTTCAACTATTGCTGAAACGAAACAATTTAATTTAGCATCATTTATGAAAAAGAAAACTGTCGTCGATTGAGGCTAAGGCCTTTAGAACAAGAGTTAGTTAATCTTAACAATTTACGGCATGCCGTCCTTCAGATCGCATCGTGTACCAGAGCTGCTCGGAGTAGCTCTGGTACACGAGGCGGTCGACCTCCCGAACAAAATACTGTGAAATGTCAAATTTCGTCCTTTCAGACTGTTTCATTAAGAAGTGCCATCAGAAAAATATACGCTAACCAAAGGTACCTCGAAAAGAAAGGAAAAACGCTGAACAAAAAATAAGCCAAGCCAAAGTATTCTTTGGTTGCTCGATAGCAAACAAGATTATGATGTCAAGTTTAGAAAAAAAAAACCCCACGTTGAGCTCACCTGTCAAAGTTTCTTCATCAAAATCAAGAGTAATTACTTCTTCTCCTTCTTTTTCTTTATGTTCTTCCTCGGCTGGTGGTGTGCCGTAATCCTTAATTGACCCCTCCGCCGCCATGATTTCTGGGAGTTTACATCTTGGCGGACGTACCGCTCCTTTACGGTTCCTGCACAACAATGATGTACAATCAATTTACTGTTTTTACTCCAAAATATTTCAAAATTTGTCCTATTATTATGAAAAAATTAAGTTTTCACACAGTGATGGAAATTTGTGTCACTTGCTTAGACATTACATGATCGCTTGGAGAGGGACACCATGTAAGCCTTTTGTTCTCGTACAACATTCCTCTGATCGGAAACTTGACTGCTTTCGTTTTAGTTCGTCACGCAACGCGCTTTTTCTTAGTTGTGTGACGAGCTCACGCGCGGAGGTGAGGGAGACTTTTAGCCAACCAACAACTACACGAGGTTTCGCCAAATTCTTAACCCCGGGCGAGTGATCCACCGAATCAGATTCGTTTTATTCAGTCTTTTGCACTTCCAGTTCACGCGTTATGCAGTCTTGTGTCGTGATAATTTACAGTTCGTTAATTCAGCAGCACTTTATGAAAGAATGGAACATCTGATATGGACTGGCGCGAGTAAGTCCACTTGCGCACAACATTAGCTTCAGTTCAAGAGATTATGAATAGTTGATAATTTCTTTCTTCAGTTGGTCTCACGTTTTTTTCAGTTTCGGTTCATTCTGATTTCGCCTCGGATCTTACTTTAGATAATTCTTATTTTCGCCGCCACTGCTTCTGTCGCTCCATCGAAATCATTTTTATGTCAATGGCAATGTCCGGCACTCGCACTGAATATCAACATAGTTTGAAATTTCTAGTTTGTGATTTAACAACAAATAAAACTATTTACTTGGTGTGGAATCAACTATAAATTCACCTTGCTACACTTGGCAACGCTTCGTGCAATATTTGAATGTTTCGCTCATTCTACATCTTCATCGCCTGAGCGTTTGTTTTTTTTTTTTCTCCAATTTGAATCATTCACATTATTCAGTGACTTATCATGTACAAGCTAGTCAGAGAATGAGTGAATTAATGGTACTAAGTCGATTCAGTTTTAGTCGCCTTTTTTCTATAAAAACGTTTATCAAAATATCGAAAGAAAATCTTCGGCCAAAGCTACATCCTGTAACAAAAGTACCGTCGGTGATCAATCTATGACGATCAGTTGTGAGCAAGGAGTACAAGCATGAACGTTATCCGTTATCTGTTTTTAACCGTTCACGGTGGGTTAAAAAAAAAACAGCGGTTTAAATTTGTTTGCATACGGTCCTCGATCGTTTGTTATCTGATTCTGAGAAACTGAATTTTTCCCTCACGAGATGCAACGTTTGATGACAACAGCCCGCGCCTTTAAACTTCATGCTCGACCTTACGAATGATAATTACTTAAACTGAATTTTTGCTTTTTAGAACTGCTAAATTAATGAGACTTGAAAAATCCAAGCTTCAACTGGGCTCTAGCACGTGCCTGATAGGTACTGATTACGATAGCCGCTATTTCAGTTCGAGCCAGTTTCCATAAAGGTTTTTATTTTTTTAAGTGCAGTGATCAATTCTTCAATCAGCATCCGAAGATTGAGTATAGTTTTCTTCATGTATATTTTTTGAAACTAGAATGTGAAAAAAGATTTTAAATGGCATCTTGCTCTGATATCTTTCTTTCATTGACGGTGGTTTCCATCAGCAACAGAAATGGACATGATGATGTGTCGATGAGTGTGGTATAATACTTCATTAGTACTTACTTTCGGGAGACGGTTGTYCGACAAAGATGATGTCTTCAAGTTTTGGAGTTCTGCGACAGAATATCCTGAAAACAGATAAGTTCGAAAACAAAAAATTATTAGCATTGGAAAAATGATTTCTCAAAAAGTTTTCATGTTGCACAAACGAAGCCAGCACGATATTTCATTTACACATTTTAAAATTTGTGAAAAAAGTCTAATTGAAACTGAAAAAAAACTTTAAAGAAAAAAGCCTTGCCAGCTAACCTTGAGCCAAAAATTAGCAAACTCCACAGTCAAGATCAGCCGCTGAAGACAAATCTGGATACCCGAAGTCGATGTTTGTTTGCAAGTAATCGTACAGAGGCGTAAAACTTCTTTAAATAGGTTTTATTTGAAGATTTTTACGGGAGACAAGTTTCATTTTCCAACACGATCTACTCTTTAGGCTTGGTCGAAAATGAAAACTAACGTCAGAAATGCCTGAAAACGGTGAATGATTTCTTTATGTAGAGTGTTTGAGCACTAATATTTTTTTAAACCATTTACTAAATTTTTTTCGAACCTGTTAAAAACCCTTTATTATTTTGATCAGTAGGAATGATTCATCAGGTATCATCTTCGAAGAGATGTCTGTCGGAGTCTACCAGGCATGAAAATTTTGTGTCAGTGATAAACACGACAAATTTCAACATAGTACTTTCGCACGCGGACACAGTTTCGTATCTCATCTTAACTCTAAAATCTTATTGACGGGGTGGTTAACTCTTAAATCTTATTGTTGGTCTGAATAACAGTGTATCAAAACTATTAAGAGAACCTACATAATCATCAGTCATGGGGTGAAAAGCTAATTTTTGTTCCCCATTCTGAATGGCTCTTTTCATCCAAAAACTTTTCAGTAGTTTTTACAGTACTGTCATTGAATTTCTGTGCCTACTTTGTCTTCCTTCTAGGAAGGCCGTAAGCACTGTGTTACGGTGTCGTAATAGTCCGTAACCTTTCTCCAAGCACCTCACCGTTTTCAAAATGGCGGACTATCGTAGCCACACGCGTAACATCGATCTCTTGAGACTCGCCCTGGTTAAGTTCCGACACCGGTCATCGTTGAACGAATTTGATCGGGTTTCTCTCATGCAATTTATTTTTGGGCTTTGTTAATTTTTTTCTCAGGGCCTCACCTCTGTATTTCGATATTGTTATCGATTTGAACGTAAGAGCTACGTCGGAAAACGT